GAGTGTGGCCGGGGGGAGGGTGAGCATGGCCGGGGGTGGTGAGCATGGCTGGGGGAGGTGAGCGTGGCCGGGGGGTAAGGGGGGGAAATGGCCTCCCTCGGTGCTGATGCCCTCATGTGTTCACCCCACGGATACTAACTGAACGCCAGCACTGTGCTGGGATCTGCCAGGCACTGGAGTTTCAGTGGCTAACAGTAAACTTGAACAGGAGGCTTGTGCCCACAGAGGTTGCCGTTAAATGTGTGTTAGATGTGGGTAGGTGGCATGCTACTGGAGAGAGACCCCTAAGAGCTGACGTTAGCCTTGTAGGTCTTAGGTCAGACATCCTGGGTGTGATTCCTCCAGGACTGAAGTGGGTTTTCTGTCAGCTTTTTCCTTTTTTTAATGTGTTGATGGGCCCATTCTGTGTGTCTTTCCCATGGGAGCAGTCATCCTTGTTGCTGCTGACTCACTATTAGTCCCCAGAATAGCAGCACAAGGTGAGAAGAGAATGTATTCAGGGGTTAGGGCTGAGAGATTAGGCCCACGGTTTTTCACAGGAAGAATATGACTGGGCTGATGCATCTTCCAGCAACGACAGGCCAAATAGAGAAACACACTCCCAAGTAATAGTTGGGGAGGGGAGGTTGTCGGGGATAGGAAAGGTCACAGTTGAAGCAGGAAGCGTGTTTCAGCACAGGAGATTTAAGCTGGACCTTTATGCAGTTTCTTTTTCAATCTGTGTGTGTGTGTGTGTTTTAATCTCTTAGATCTCAAAAGAAGATGGCCAGTTCCTCCCCTGTTTTGTCCAAAGCTGCTGGATATGGCTTACAGGTAGGGATGTAGACTTCTCAAAGGAAACAGCTGTGGAATGTGCCAGCTTGACAACCTTTTTAGATGTAGGGCATTTTGCAGCCAACTGAACATCATGTGGATGGCAGGGCCAGGCTACTGGGGAATAGGCCCACTCTTTTTCCCTGAGCCTCTTTCTGTGACTGAGGACCCTCTGAGCAGATAAACTGAACTTCCATGGGGGCATTCACACTATCTACTGGGCATTGTGCCCATCCTTCTGCAGGTAATTTATATAAACTACACACATTTTCAGTATGCAAGTTGATGACTTTTGACAAATGTACATCCTCTGTTTCTTAACCTTTGGTCCTGTCCCCCATGTTTCTGTTTCTTGCTCCTCATTAGGGTGCAGTAAGGAGCCAAGCAAGGAACTACATGTAGGTGGTTGAGTGGGTATATCCTTTTAGGGGATTCTAAAGATAATACTCCTCAGTTTGTATGGTTCTCAGTAATTGGTGTCCTGTGTGTGGGCTCTTTAACAGAGCCTCAGTACTCATTTATTTCCTAGTTTTGCCACAGTCTATCCTGAAATGCAGGGCTTTCTTATGAATAGTTATTCTTTTCTTTTTTTAAAATAAATATCCCTTCTTCCTTTCCTTAATGTTATAGGTTAGGGACTCCAACCACAGCCAGAGACTGCAGGGTCTTCTGATGGCTGAGCCAAAGGGAGTGCATGGGTTGAAGAACCATTCTAGGTCCAGAAGCTCCTCCCACTCGCCCCCCAGACATACTAGCAAGAAGAGCCCCAGGGAAGCAGGGTCCCGGGACAGGAAGTCTCGGTCCCCAAGGCCCAGCAAACCGTGAGTGTGGGAGCTCCCTGGGAAACAACCTGTGAATGGGGGAGCTGGTCACAGCAGGTGACCATTTGCTTCTGGTGATGTCCATTCATTGACTTTTCCAAATGTCTTAGCTTTGTTATTTCCTTTACATCATTTTTACTTAAAAAAAAAAAAAACCCTGCAACTTAAATTTCAGGCCCCTGGAACTACTATTTATAGGCACAGACAGTGGTACCTGTGAAAGCTAGAACTTGACTGTCTTGTTTTTCTGGGTCTTGCAAGTTTTCCACTTTGAAAACTTTATCGCTATTAGTGGAAAATAAAATTTGCATTTTCCTTCTCTGACAGGTTTCTTCCTCACACAGGTTCTGGCTTTTGTAGGTTTTACTGTATTATGCTAGTGGAATCTTGAATCAGTTTCATATCAAATCTTATTATCCCTTTGTTTTCTTCTACTTCTGCCCTTTACTCTCCTATAGTTGGATTATAAAAATATTAACTTATTTCAGTGTTTGAAGAGCATCATATGAATCCTTGTATTGAAAAGTCTTTTCTTCCCTCCACTCTGTGTGTCCATTACAGGCACAGCTCTAAGGGAAACAGGAGAGAGAGGGGCCGAACTAAGAGCCCATCACCTAAAAAAGAGGTCTACCAGAGGCGGCATGCTCCTGGATACACGAGGTAAATCAGGAGCCCAATAGGTTAACTTCAGACTCTGTGGGCCTAAGTCCAAGTGACTTAGAGCAGGGAAGATGGGTCACCTAGATCATTTTTTTGCCAAAACCAGTTTTAACGCATCTTGTCATCTTTTAATGGTTTGGTCCTAGCACTTTGCCAGGTACTCTGTAAAGACCAATTAAATAGTTTTTACTTAATGAGACAAGTGACTGTCTCTCAACATCTATGAACATATAAATTCGCATAGAAATTTCTACAGAGAAACTTTTCTTGAGAGACATTCCTTTCTTTCTGAGGCAACAGCTGGAAGGAAAGCAAGATGTTCTCCTTAAGGATTCGACACCCTAAGGCTGACTTTGTGCTCATGTGGGGAGGTGGTCAGACAGAGTCAGGGGACTGAGGAGGGTTGGCTGTGCCAATGAAGGCTGTCCCTGAGGGTTTAGGTTGTGCTTGGTAGAAGTTTGGATGAAGTGGGCAACTTTTGTGAACTTCCTTTTACTCTCTAGTAGGATGTATATACCACATGGGGAGCTTAAAAAAAAAAAACAAACCAAAAAACCCACTACCTGTCTGTACCTTAGCCCAGTTATATCAGAATTTGTAGGGGTAGATCCAGGTATCGGTATATTGTAAAGCCCTCTCAGTAATTCCAGTGTGACACCAACACTGAGAACCACTGATGTCTACAATGTCTTTTTTTTTTTATTCACTCTGTGGTTAGAACAGAGATGAGAATCTAAGATCCCTTTCAACTCCTAATTGTTTGATCCCCTGAGTTTTCAGGGAAAAGAAACTTTTTTTTTTTTTTTAAATTTTATTTCAAATTTTTATTGTGATTTGGGTGAAAGTTTACAGAGCAAATTCACTTTCCTACAGCAGCTCACACACTCTGTCTTATGACATCGACTACTAACAGCTCCCCTTTCATTTCCTCCCCATAGTTACCTCTTCCCTGTGTCCTTCCCTCCCTGCACTCCTGTCCCCCAAGCTGTCTCCCTGTGTATATACAGCCTTTCTATTCTCCCATGATTGATCTTTCCAAGGAGTATATCTACCTATTATGTATGTTCACCTCATATGCCTGTTTTTTGTTTGGCGGAAGCCACAGGAGTGGGTTCAATTTCCAGACCTTAAGGGTAACTAGGGGCCATAGTCTCAGTGGTTCCATCAGGTTCCATCAGACCAGCAAACCTGGTCCTTTTTTTTTTTAATGATTTTGAGTTTTGTTCCACATTGTTCTCCCACTCTATCCAGGATCTCCTACATAGATACCCCTCTGACTGGTTGACAGTGGTAGCTGGGCACCATCTAGTCCTTCTGGTCTCATAGTCGTATAGGCTAAGTATCACATGGTGTACAAGTTGCTTGGACTAATTGTTTCCATGTATCTTTGGTTTTCTTCATTCTGGTTTGCTCTGGATGAGGAGAGACTCATCATTGCATGTAGATGGGGAACAGAAACTTTAAAAAAAAATTAAGTATTTTGATTGGTAATTTCCAAGATATGTTACATATTTCCCTGCCTTCCCAGATAGAGTATATTGAACATACTTTAAACTTTTATCTTCTTGTTTTGGTTACTGAGTGCTGCCCTGACAAGACTATACCACCAATGGGATGCTTGAACAAATAGGAGTTTATTCTCTTACAGTCTGGAGGCTTTAAGTCCAAGTTCAAGTGCTAGGCTCTAGAGGCTGGGTGAAAGCCCCTCAACCTCAGGCTTCAGTTCTGCCTCCTGCTCCCAGCCCAATGAAGCGAGAGGCTTTTCTTCACTCAGACAGCTGCTGGCTGTTGAGACTGACAAGCCCAAAGTTGGTTGATAAGTAAAAAGGCACAGTCCCGATGTTACCAAACCACATGGCAGGCTGTTAATTCGAATCTTTTGAAAGTCCCACGGTTGGCAGAGCATGCCAGGCTGCTGACCAATGACATGGCTACATGCAGGGTTCAAGCGTGCCATAAGCTAGAGACTGTTCTCCAAGCTTCTCCTTATATAAAGGAAACAGACCACATCCCTAAGGAGCTGCTCACAGTAGATTCCACCATGGAGTTGATTGCCAGTCTCATCATGAGGAATACTATATCCAACTGCCCAGCCACTAACCAGGCCCAGCCCAGTTGACACACAAACTTAACTACCACACTTCTCTTGGTGGCTTGTGGTCAGTCTTCAGCTTTGCTGAAATTCATGCTGCCCTTATGGATGCTGATGAGTGTGTGTATTTTTTTATATTTTTGTCTAAGTCACTACTTGACTATGCTTTTCCAGATCCTGCTTCATATTTTGTTTTTAAAAGCCAAACAGTATAAAAATATTAAAAATCAGCAGTCCCTTGCCCTGCATGCCACCACATGCATGAACCTTGAAAACATTATACTCAGTGAGATAAGTCGGAGACAAAAGGACTATTATATGATCCCATTAATATGAAATATCTAGAATAGGCAAGTGCATCGAGGCGAGAGATTAGTGATTACCAGGAACTAGTGGGAGTTGTAATTATTGAAAAGAAAAAGATCCCTAATAAAAGGAAGGGATAAGAAAAGCTGAATGCACTATATTTATGAGCAGGGCTTGTGCTGAGTAAGGACTAGCCTTTGAGCTGGGCCTGGGCCCCTTCAGTTTCATAGAGAAAAATCATCTTGTTGTCTGACCAAAGGCTGTTAAGTCTGGCTTCTGGCATTTGGGAGGAAGCATAGATCCCAGTGGGGACTTGAGTCTCAGTATTGAATATGTGGACTTCTTCATCCCTTCTGCAGTCTGGTGGCCCTGCCAGTACCTGCAGTGCCTGAAGCTTCTGTATCCTCTGATCTCCTGTCTGGGTTGGTTTCTCCCAAGGGTAAACCATACGTCTCCTGTAGACACCATGGAGAGTAGTCATCTAGTCATCTGGCTTCCTCAGGTTGGGCATGAGGATCCAGGGGTGTCTTCATCGCTTCCTATATAGACTTTAGATGGTTCCTTTGTCTTCAGCCCTGTACCTCACCACCGTCCTTCATATTACTTGGTCACTCCTGTCCTGCATTTTCCATGTGATTCCACTTGCTTCTCATCAGTATGAGCACATAAGGATTTAGTTTTCTGTAATACAATTCTTTCATCCATGTCTATCTTCTAACACTTTGTTGACATCATTTATCCAGTATTGTCTTCTCTCCCATTCTCTTTGTATCTTTCATTTAGTGGGGTTTTTGAAAGGCAATGCAATCATTTCAGTATGGATAACTAGATGTCCAGTTTTAATGTCTTAAGTTTATTTCTCATAGTTGGGGGGGGGGTTTCCTAGTCTCTGTGGATCTCTGATAATTATTTTTCCTTTTCACACTCATTTGAAAAGCAATGGATTCGGATATGACATTGTAAATAGTTATTGGCTGTTTTATCACCTTTTCCTACTCTCTAACTTTATTTGGAGTGAGTGACAGAAGAGATCTACCTATGAATTTTCTAGGCATTCTGGCTTCTAGCTTAGTCCTGAAGTGGTGGTTCATGGGCTGCCTCTGAATTTATGAGCATCTCCACTGGTAGATGGTAGATGTCAGCAGTCACATGGATAACTCAGCCCTCCGTTTTCTAAGTTGATGGGATATAATTGCTATAGATTTAGGTTCCTGATTAGTTCTCCATTTACTTCATATTTAATCATCATTTCAGAGATTACCGAGTGAGAGTATGAAATCTTTCACTAAAAATCTTTGAAATTCTGTTGAAACCCCTTGGCCAGTATGTTAGGAAGGAAGGACACTTGTGCTGGGCTTGACCCTGGGTGGGCAGTGAGCTGGAGATCCTGGAGTCCCATCTGATTTCTGTTCTCCCTTGCTGTTTCTGGTTTTTTTCTTTCGCTGGGAAAGAAGACGACTTGATAGGATGGTTTTGTGTTCAACAGAAAACTCTCAGCAGAGGAACTAGAGCGAAAACGGCAAGAGATGATGGAAAATGCCAAGTGGCGGGAGGAAGAGAGGCTGAACATCCTCAAGAAGCACCTGAAGGATGAAGAGCGGGAGCAGAGGCTGGAGAAGCTGGACTCCCGGGACGGAAGGTTTATCCAGTCAGTGCATCTTCCTCCTACCCAGGGCCTTGCATAGGGATGATCTCAGGGAGGTGGTTTGGCAGTGGGTCCTCATGTTCTGGGTGCTTCTGCACCTATGCAGAGAGCACAGTTTTCCAGCACGGAGAGCAGCCTCCAGATGGCTTCTATTCCTGCTCCCAGCTTCTGGCCAGGTAGTGGGATGTTTTTGAGGAGGGGAGGAGAAGTGAATTGGTATTTTCTAAATCACTGCAATTCTTAGGCCTTCCTTTTACAAAAGAATATATGGGTTCACGGAGCCTTTTTTCAAAGGCTTTGACTTATCTTACAAAACAGGTAAGTTTTCCCTTTTGGACATAGTCTTTTAAAAATTTAGATCCAGATGCAGTGATGTGAAAGTTATCTATATGCACTTGAAAGTGCTTGCATTTCTGTAGCTGCTTTAAGGCTAGCAACCTGTTTCTCTGCATTCTACCAGATAGTTGACCAGTTGAAAATGATGTTTCTGACTAACATTTATCTTTTGTTCCTAGCCGTATGAAGTTAGAGAGTGCATCTACTTCTTCCCTGGAGGATCGGGTGAAGCGGAATATCTACTCTCTACAGAGAACCTCTGTAGCTCTGGAGAAGAACTTTATGAAAAGATGAAAGTCATCCCCTCTCTTGCTGATTTTCCAGGGAGGCTGCTGACCCCTTAAAAATTCTCTTTATAAGAGTTCAAATGACTTCTTCCAAAGACGTCAGACCACCACTGTTCAAAGTGACCTTCCTCCATCGATTCTTGAGAGCTCACTTGAGAAGCAGTGTGACTTGCTTTGTGGGGCCTACCAGTCCCTCAGGAGCTTTTGCTGGGTGTAAAGTGGGTTTTGACCGAGTTTTTCATTGAGTGACCATCTTGGTGTGAGTATCTATCCTGCTCTGAACGGTTGCTCCCTGTGCTCATGACACTTATCTGGACCATCTGTGTGTCCAGACACATTCCACCACCTCAGTATAGACTGGACCTTTCAGAAACCTCTCTCTCTGGAGCCACCCAGTAAGTTTGTATTTGACTGGGATAAATGAAGATTTCCTTGATTCGATAAATAATAAGAGATTGATGTCAGGGAAGAGTGAAAAATAATCTGGAAGGTAAAACCATACCAAAAAACAAAACAAAACATAAAACCCTGAATGAACTGTTAAACTCATCTATTTGGTCTGTCTTCTGAACTATAAAAGCATAGTGTGTATATGTGCAGAAGTATAATTTTTACATGCTTTCAAAACATTTTATCTTTGTGAGAATATCTTGTTCGGTAAATGACTTTAATATGTAATGGAGCCACATTGAACCTCATTAGTGAGTAATACAATAAGGCAGTCCTTTTTTCTCTCGGAATCTGGCTGGATTAGGATCTAGGGTATCTATCCTTTCATACATCACCGCTTGGAGTCTCTACTGTGGTCAGTGCAGTGGTAAAGTCAAACGATTTCAGGAATGAGGACCAAATTGCCAAGGTGCGCCCTAGCTCTTGAAAGAAAATAAAGTAGAAGCTGTTTATTTCATGGCTTCCCTTTTATCATGTAATAACTTTATTACAATTCTAGGATTTCAAAAGTTGTTTGCTACTATTTTTTAGTCAGATATTAAAATAATAATAATAAAAAAAACCCTCAATGGACCAATCTCCTGTCTTTACTCCTTTCTCTTCTCTATTCTTTGACTAGACATGGGCCAGGGAACTTTGACTAGACTGGCTGAGAGGATTCATGTCTTTGAACACCATCAGCCACTCCAACACTTAAAACCCAGTCTTTCCCCAGAGAGAATGTACCATTCACTTGTTATTCATTTAATCCACTTCATTCTAGTTCCCTATTTTAGAGTTAATTGCTTTTATTTTATTGGTAATAAATGCTACATTTATTTTTGTAACTGTTTAAAGAGCGACTATGCCATTTCTATGCAGAGTACGGACTTTATGAAATCCCGTACAATGTTGACCGGTAATTTGTGCCGAATATATAGCGAGCCTTCGTCGGAGATGAATTATGTAACAAAGTAGGGGCAGTTTACTAAAAGATTTCATGGAAAGAGCCAGAGAAGAATAATTCTGTGCTGTAGGATAGGTGTCTTAAGGTGGTTACTAACGTTCTATGAAAACTTGACCCTCCGGCGGAAGGAGGTTTGGCGGCAGGTGGGTGGGTGTGAGACCCATTCATAAAACCCAGGGTTCTGGGCTTGCTTTTCTCATTGGCCCTGGGGAAAGGGGCGTGCCCCGCGGGTGGAACGCGCCCTAGGCTCAGGGGAGTGGGCAGATCCACGCCTGGGTGGGGCGAAGGGGCGTTCCTTGGTTTTCCAGGCTGGATTTCCTTTTCCTCTTGCTGTGTTCCTACTCTCTCCCCCGGGGTGGGGATGGTACGTCCCACCCTCCTCGCATTCCCGACTCTCTTCCCCTCCTGCTGCAGCGGAACCGTCGCCATCTTGGCACGTCAGGTTGAGGGAAAGAGGCAAACCCTGGCTCTGGGTGCCGGGACAGGGATACTTTTGTGGTAGACAGCGAAACCTACCCATCTCTCCTCTTTCCGGCGCGGGGCTTTGAGGCGTGCAGAGGCTAGCTCAGCTCGGCCCAGTTCCTGTCAGGCCCGGGGAGGAGGGGCGGGCGAGGAGGCCGCTACCTCCCCGGGACGGGCGGTACCATCCAGGCAGGGAGGACAGGATTTGGGGACGGCAGAGCAGCGGCACCGCCCGGGGGCGGGGTGCGGAGCAACACTGCCGGTTCCCTGGGGTGGGGCCCTCGGGCCGGGGGGGCGGAGCGTGAGGCGGACGGAACCACCGGGGTGGGGTGGGGAGGTAACGGGACGGGCGCGACCATGGCGCGGTGAGAGAGTGGGGGTGGGGATCGGTCCGGGGGAGGCCTGGGGCCGCTGGGTTTTACGCGATCTCCGCCGCCCCCCCTTTTCGCCACCGCCGCCGCCGCCGCCCCGGGCATGTCGTCCAACTGCACCAGCACCACGGCGGTGGCGGTGGCGCCGCTCAGCGCCAGCAAGACCAAGACCAAGAAGAAGCATTTCGTGTGCCAGAAAGTGAAGCTATTCCGAGCCAGTGAGCCGATCCTCAGCGTCCTGATGTGGGGGGTGAACCACACGGTAACCAGCTTCCCTGCACGCGCCCCTTCGAGCGTGGCCCCGCGCGCTCCCACGCCCCCTGCAGCCTCAGGCCTTCGCCCCGCGGGCCCTGCCAGTGACGCCTGCAACCCCTCGCCAGGCCACTTGCACGCCCACTCCACCTTTGCACGCCGTTCCGGCCGGGTGTGCACTCCCTGCGCGCCACGCGAGGCCTGGTGCCTCCGTGGTACGCCGACGCCTCCTCCCCCGCCCTCCAGCTTCCTGCGCTTGGTATCCTCGCTTCGGGCAGGCGCTGGAGCGTAGGGGGAAGGCCTGGGTGCGGTGGAATCGCTTTCATCCCTGCTCCCTCTCTTCTCCGCTCACCCTGTTGGCTGCACTGTTTGCCCCCTTGTTCCTTGTAATCGCCTGCCAACGCACTGCCCCTGGACGGAGCTAGTCCAGGAGTATTGGCATGCCTGAATACTCCTCTATTTCTGGTCGTTTGGTTGGTGTGGCTGTAAAGTTTCCCATTCACTAGGCCTGTTTACTCTGAGTATGGGTATTCTGTCTGGGTTTCCTTTTTTCTTCTTGAACAAGATAATTGTATCAGTTGAAGGCTTCCTTGACCCCTCCTTCCAACCACAGACACTTTACTAGGGTCTCCCTAGGTTAAGCAGAAGAGAGAATGTAACCATTTGAGAGAAGGGGAGGCCTGATTATAAGGGCTATTCGTATTCATAGTAGAAATAATGTGTCTTCCTGTGTTCTCCTGTTATGTTCGTATCAAAGATGTTGACTTCTCATTTGCTGAACTCTCTATTGTGTGGTCCTGAAGGGGGTGATACTGGATGGTTACTAGGATGAGTGAGTGAGAGGTTCCCTGGGTCCCTGGATGCTTTGGGATTGTCCAACAGCCCTTGTCAGGAAGTTGGAATTCCAGCACAGTGTTTGAGGGAGGTGACTTTGTTTATGTGCCATTTGTTTAGGATCTTTTTTTTCCAACTGCTTGTGCTTTGCCTTCTGACCATTTCATTGTCTGAAAGCCCCAGCACCAGGAATGAATAGAGGAAATAAAAGGACCTGAAACTCCAACTTCACCAGTTAAAAGTTTGGAGTGAGGAAGGTGAAGCTAATGGTTTTGAGCGACTTGGGTTTTCTGTTGATTTTTACCTCTGATTTTTCCAAGCACTTGAAATTGCCCACAAGACTAAATGATAATAAGGGGCCCAGAGCCAGCAAGACTTAACTTTTGTAGACAAGCATTTGGCTGGATAGTGGTGAATTATAATCTGAGCCAAGTTTTGGTCTTCCTGTTTAGTATAGAAAAGTACATGTGAGCTCTTTATTGGTTTCTTGATCATGGGCAGCTTACTGTTTTAATTGTCATCACCAGGGTTAGTGAGGTTCCTGACCAGGGTACGGAGTACCACTAATATAAGCCCTAGACCTGTAGGCGGAAGGAAGATGGGGCAATCTACTTCTGTAGTGATACTGCCTCGGAAACCCAAGGAGGGGTCGCTATGAGTCGGGTCTGACTCGACGGCACGTAACAACAAAAACAACAACAACAACAGACCTGTAGGAGCTGCTTTGGACCACTAGTCCGGTAGAGTTTGCTCCTCCTCCTTTCTGTTGCCTCAAGGGTCATCAGACAATTTTGCAAGGAAGACTGGGTCATCGGAATAATGAACTCTATGTCTCTGCCTGAAAGTCAATCCTTGATTTTGTTCTCCAGCCTGCTTCCCACTAGAAAGCAGCATCCTGTCTGTGTAGAGAACTGATTGGTTGGAGAGTCAAGAGTAGTACAGCTAACTGGAAGGGACCTTGGATCCCTTATATTACAAATGAAGAAATGGAGGCCCCAGGTAGAGGATTAATGTCTGTAGTCACAGCAGAAGATGCAACTCATTGCCCAGCACCTTTGGGCTGTGACTGGCAGTCGTGGTGTGAGTGGCGAGTCTAATTGTCTTTGGTTCCAGTTCCCTGTCCTATTTCTCAGCCAAGTCCCAGGACAGATGGAAATCATGGTCTTGCTAGAGAACATGAATGTGTGTTCAAGTGTGCGAGCCTGTGCATGCTGGTTCCTGGGAGTGTATGTGATGATTGCAATTCTGAAAGACAGGTGGTAGGTCTGCCGAGATGTGGGCATTAGATGGAAGCCTTTGCATGGCAGATGAATAGGAACCTATGATGCCTGCTCTCTCGTCATGGCTTATTGGATGAAGCATGTGCCTTCTTCGCTAACTTTGTTTGAGGGCTAGCTGGAAAGGCTGGAAAGCCGTTGACTTACAGCATGCTTTGTGCATAATGAGCTAGAGAAATCAAAAGGCATTGGACCTGTCAGGAAAGAACTTGTAAAGAGAGAAAACCAGGGTTTTAGGGGATGGAATACAATTCAGAGGGTCTGAAGTTGGGAAAACAGCCTTGTAGAGGAGAATGGAGAGCAAACAGGCTTGATACCTGAGGGCTATTGTAGAGCAGTTGATGGTGAGTCCATATTTAACCATCTGAGAAACTACCAGACTGTTTTCCAAAGTGGCAGTACCATTTTACATTTCTGCCAGCAGTGTATGAGGGCTCCAGTTTGTCCACATCCTTACCAACATTTGTTATCGTCTCTCTTTGTGATTGTAGACTTGAGTCAGGATGAATTTGGTGCTAGCAAATTGCTGGTGAATTGGTATCTCTTTGTGATTTTGATTTGCATTTCCCTGATGGCTGGTGATCCTGAGAATCTTTTCATGTGCTCATTGGCCATTCAATTCGAATCCTTTGCTCATTTTTAATTATTTACCTTATTTTATTTTAAGAGTTCTTTATGTATTCTAGATACAAGTCCCTGATCAGATAGATGATTTTCAAATATTTTATCCCATTATGTGAATGTCTTTTTCACTTTCTTGATGGTGTGTTTGGAAGCGTAGAAGCTTTTTGTTTTTTTTTTTCATTGTGATTTGGGTGAAAGTTTACAGAGCAAATTCACTTTCTGTACAGCAATTCATATACACTTTGTCTCCTGACATTGACTACAATTTACCACAATGCAACATCTCCCCTCCTACTTCCTCACCATAGTTACTTCTTCCTGTGTCTTTCCCTCCATGCACTTCTGCCCCCTGAGCTCTCTCCCTGTGCATACGCAGCCCTTCTATTCTCCCCTGATTGTTCTCTCCAAAGAGTGTATCTACCTAGTGTAAATGTTCACCTCATATGACTGTCTTTTGTTTGGCTGGAAGCCACAGTGTTGTTGTTGTTGTTGTTATTTGTCATCAAGTGAGACCTGACTCATGACAACCCCTCCTTGGGTTCCCAAGGCAGTGTCACTACGGAATTAGATTGCCCAACCTTCCTTCAGAGGAGTGGCTGGTGGGTTTGAACCACCAGCCTTCTGGTTAGCAGTCAAGGGCCTTAGGCACTATGCTACCAGAGTTGCTGGAAACCACAGGAGTGGGATCAAATCCAGACCTGAAGGGCAGCTAAGAGCTATAGTCTCAGTGGTTCCATCAGGCTCTATCAGACTTGTCCCTTTTCTTTTTTTTTCCCCCCAAATGATTTTGAGTTTTGTTCACATTGTTCTCCCACTCTATCAAGATCTCCTACATAGATTCTCCCTCCAAGTGGTTGATAGTGGCAGCCAGGCACCATCTAGTTCTTCTGGTCTCATAGTTGAATAAGCTGAGGATTGCATGGTGTACCAGTCGCTTGGACTAACTATTTCCATAAATCTTTGGTTTTCTTCATCCTTTTTTGCTCTGGACAAGAAGAGACCCATTCTTGTACCTAAATGGCTGCTTGCAAGCTTTTAAGATCCCAGTGGCTACTCACCAAAGTAGGATGTGGAATAGTGTTTTGTGTAGTATATTATGACAGTTGAGCTTGATGTCCCCTGCAACTATGGTCCTGAGCCCACAAGTGAAACTGCTCGCTCCCTCTGGGTAGCTGGCTATGGCCAAGAAGTGACTATAACCTTGTCCCTTGTCAGTGGAAGCATAGAAGTTTTAAACTTTGATGAAGTCCCATCTGTTGTTGTTAGGTGTTGTTGAGTGGGTTCTGACTCATAGCGACCCTGTGTACCACAGGATGAAACACTGCCCACTCCTGCACCATGCTTACAGTCCTTACCATGTTTGAGGCCATTGTTGTAGCCACTGAGTCAGTCCATCTCATTTAGGGTCTTTTCATTTACCTTTTTTTTTTGTTTGTTTTGTCACTTTATGCTTTTGGTGTCATATCTAAGAAGGCTTTGCCTAACCCATGGTCATGAAGATTATTCCTATATTTTCTTCTAAGAGTTTTTATAGTTGTAGCTCTTACATTTAGGTCTGTAATCCATTCTAAGTTAATTTTTGTGTATGAGTGAGGAACAAATTGATTCTTAAATCTGCTCGCAGTTCCTCTCCTGCATTCTTTCCCCATTTTGTTCAATTTCTTTGCTTAATGCAGACCCAGGACTTCCTTTACCTGCCTCTTTTTCTGGCTCAGCTCCTTTAAAACTCTGTTCCAGTGAAGCCAATGGATGAATTTGTGCTTCAGCAGGCCTTCCCACCTCACAGAGAACAGTGAGCTCAAACAGAAGGAAAAGGAAAACCAAGCTCTAAACAGAAGAAAAAACATGGGTGCATTTATTGGCACCTCTGGCTTTTTGTTCTTTTGCTTTTCCTCTCTGGAGCTCCAGGTCTTGTTTGGACCTCCTTGGTCTCAGGAGTGTATTTCTCATCATGTTTTCTGATGGTGGCACATGACAAATGATCACCAGTGGTGGCCAGCCTATTATGAAGCTGCTGTTGGAACCCCAGGGCAGCTCAGGAAGCCTGCATGTGCAGTTCATACTTTCTGGGTAACAGTTCCTATGAAGGTGGCACAGGGAAGTGGAGGCTTCTGGAATCAGAAATTCACCAGACTAGAACTAGTGACTGAATTTTCATCTGCAGTAAGATCAGCATGGAGTAAACTTTCTGCCCCTATGTTGTTTCTCACTCAGCTTGTTTAGCTTCTTCATTATTTATGCTGATGGTGCACACAGTTAATCGTGTGGATAATCC